CTTTAGATTACTAACGTTATTTTTATCTAACTTACCTATTTTTACCTGTAAATATAGAATAGATTAAATACCTATGTTCTTATACCCTGTAATTCCAAAGTAATTCAGTTGTTACTGCTAGTTTGGAAATTTTTAATAATAATAATAATAAAATAATACTAATAAAAGCAGTAAAGAATTGACGTATCTCTATATTCATTCATAATTGCAGCGCATGATGTCCATATTATACTGTATGTTTAATTAGCTGACATGCACAACTCGACGAAAGCGTACGAATAGCCTCATTAACAGAACGACAAACGCGCTTGAACTCGCTTGCTTATTGGTCGAGACGAAAAATTATGAATTTTCGTCAGTCAAACGTATACGATCATCACATTGTCGGTTCCAAAACAAACGCCCTTGTGCGTCGAAACTCTTAAAACCTGGCTTGCTGGTTGGTCGAGACAGACATTATGAATTTTCGTCTAGTGAGTAAACTAATATAATCTAATCGTCAAGAAGTGACACTATAGTATTTATTTATTTATTTATTTTGCCACAATATATATATATATATATATATATATATATATATATATATATATATATATAATTTGTTGTGGATGCGTATCAAGCCTATACTCAGAAAAATTCTGAGCCCTAACGGGAATTGAACCACGTAACCTTCTGATTACCGGACAGACGCTCTAACCATTTCAATTCCCGTTAGGGCTCAGAATTTTTTTCTGAGTATAGACTTGATACGCATCCACAACAAATCACATATTCTACAAGCTGCCACAAAAACACACATATATATATATATATATATATATATATATATATATATATATATATATATATATATATATATATATATATATATATATATATATATATATATATATATACCCACAACAGCGTGTGAAACCAATTACTGTGGTCCCGATAAGTGAGAGAAGACATGACGTGGAGATCCTAAGTATGCGTGCTGAATTGCACTTCAGACACACAGATTTCCATGTCCTTGGATTATCCGAATCGAAAATTGTTTGAGATGCCGTCAAATAATGTTCTTTTAGCAAGCTTCTAAAGCGTAATAAAGATGTATCCATGCGACGCATTTCGTCAGGCAGGTTGTTCCAAACTCTGCACGTACGTGAGAAGAATGATCGTTGAAAAGTTATGGTTTTACATCTTTTAGAATGAAAGTAGAGTAGACTGGGGTCGGAAGTATTTCGGGTTAATCTTGTGGGAATGTGTTGAGTTGGCTTGACTTCAGAGTTCATGGTGGTAGTGTTGTGAACAATTTTGAAGTGGGGACCAAACCTGAGTGGCATACCCGAGATGTGGACGAACAATGGCAAGGTATAGAGTACGGCGAACGTTAACGTCATTAATGTTACGAACAGAGCGGCGAACACAGCCAAGAGCTTTGTTGGCTGCTGAGGTTTGTGCAACTACCTGGGACTTCCATGACAAAGTGTTGGTTACCCGTACTCCAAGGTCACGTTCTTCGTCGAGTCTTCCAATGGGCTTACCATTTACAGCATACTCATGGATTAAAGGTGATCT